AATTTATAGGCCATGAATTAGGGCAAACGGAGAATCAGGGGCCCCACAAGGCTGGGTGGCGCGCCCCCTAGGTCTCCTCGGGTCTCGCGGGTCTTCTGGTCTCCTCCTGAAGCTTCTGGTCTTTCTTTTGGTCCAGAAAATTGGCATCGTGTTTGGACCTCCATAGGTATTGATATTTTGTAAAACCAAAAATAAGCAGAAAACAACAACTGAGACTAGGTACTCGATTAGTATGTTAGTTCAAAAAAATAAGATAAGGTAATGTAAAATGATGAAAAAAGTATGCAAGAATAATAATATAATAGCATGAAACAATCAAAATTATAGATAACGTATCAGTCTCGCAGTCCGAGTGCCAGGTGTGCAGGCACTTGTTCTGAGCCCGGTGCCCTATTTTAGGGCAATTGTTGCTCTATTTTAGGGTTGCTGTTGGAGAAAATAAATCAGATTATTTAAAACCAACTTTTGGTGCCTTGTGTTATAGGGTTACTGTTTTTTTATGTTATAGGGTTACTGTTGAAGATGATCTAAATTTACATCACTTCGAGCTGGGTTTTTGGACAACCCCAAAACGGGACCACAAAATTATACATTTAGGGCAACTATTGGAGCTCGTTTTTTTAGCCCAAGTGATGCAAACAACGGTTTTTTGGGCAGCTACCCTATTATAGAGCTATTGCTGGAGATGCTCTTATGCGATCCAAAATACAAATAATTAGGAGAAGGTTGTGTCAAAACTTCTACAATTTGCTATACTCTTGTTTGATATACTTCAGTTTATATCATATAGTCAAACATGACACATATTGATTTTAGACTACTATATGCATCCAGACATAGTATAAATTAAGCATCTACAATTAATATCGTAATGTTTTAGTTGTAATATGTCTATTGCTTTTGCAAAAGTATGTTGATGGTTGCAAAGAAATTTCTTGAGGAATGGTTGCACCTAGTGAACGTATGAATCCATAAATATATGAACCTCCATTGAGCATCTAGCTCGGGAGGTAGTGCAATAGGGTCTGCATCCAGTGACGTAGCTAGGATCGGGCCAAGCCCCAGGCAAGCCCTAGGCTGAACGACTGCTATAGTGTTGAACGGTGTCACCCCATGGTAGTCAATAAAGAACCACGATGCCACGACCCGGACAGTGACCCTGGTTCCAAACTACACCGTTGTCTGCATCGGTGGCAACTGAAAGACCGTGGAACATGTGTTGGGTTCGTGGTTGGTAACTAGCAGGTAAGCTTTCCTTGTCCGACATCACTGTCGAGCGGGGGGTGCCATATCTGAGTTTGATGGTGTGTCTGGGGTGCTGCTCCGGCTAAATTTTGTCAATGACAAAAACTTTGCATTCGCTATGCTATTTTGAAGGTCCAAAAAGTTATATATCAGTGATGGAGCCGTGTTGAACTCAGGTGAAAAGGTGATCCATCACATTTTCTTTTGATGGTTGGTGCGATGGTGCTGGAGGCGAGTGACAGTCGTCGTCTCAACGAACTCTTTGCCTTGATTGCAATTTTCCTTCTTGTCTTATATGGTCTTTTTTGAAAAAACTCTTTGCGTAAACCGACTGATTTCTCGTTGTTTTAAGCTGCGTCGCTCGGGTGACGCGTGTCCCATATGGGCCCACGAATGCTTATCCCTTGTCCGCTCGTTCTTCCACATCCCCATCCTCTTCCCATACCGAGGCAGCAAGCTAGCCATAGCTGTGCACGGAGACGCCGGAGGCGATGCCCGGCAGCGCCTTGGTGCAAGATCTCGGCGCCTGGCAGCAGCGATGCTGCAGGAGGAGGCGCTGCTCGCTGCTCGCCGTGCTGCCCCCGTGCTCCTGCCAGCGTGATGCCGGATGCACACATCGTGCTGCGAGCAGTGGGCATCTTCGCTGGCGACGCCTGCTTCAGAGCAACACGAGGGAGATATGTGCTTGAGGAAGGTGCAGTGCTGTAGGCGCCTGACGTATGGCGGCGACGAGAACTCGGCACGGATGTCATTGCTGCATCCCCCGCTTCATCTTCACGCTGGTGTTGCAATGGAGCTTCGCCAGAGCCGTCGGTGCTGCATTGGAGCTCCGACAGGGCTGCAATGGAGCTTCGAGAAGTTGCAATGGAGCTTCGCTGGAGCCGTCGGTGCTGCGTTGAAGCTCCGCCGGAGCCCGTCGGTGCTGCATTGGAGCTTCGGCGGGGCTGCAATGGAGTTCCGCCGGACTCCGTCGGTGATGCCATTAGAGTTGCTATGAAGCTTTGTTGAATGCCATCCGTCATGCGTTGAAGCAATTGCAGGCTCGGTGCTCCCGTGGCACGTTGCTACGATTGAACGGTCATCAACGCGTAGATGTGACGGATGAGGCGGATGATTTCTTTAAGGCTCATCGTAATGGGAGTATCATGTATGTCAAGTAGGCAATTTTGATGATGTGATATAGCATTAAATGAAGAAAAAGATGATTGGGTATTATATCATAATACCGTATCATAATAAATGCAATGCTACTGTGTGTCATGCATGACAATAAATAAAGTTATTTATGATACTAGTACATGATACTATGCATTAAGGAGGTAGTATCACACACTAGTATCATATACTCCCTCCGGTCATTTTTACTCTGCATATTAGGTTTGTCCAAAGTCAATCTCATCCAACTTTGACCAAGTTTATATAAAAAATTGTAGACATTCACATAACAACACCAATATCATTAGATTCATCTTGGAGTATATTTTCATATTATATTTATTAAATATTATAGATGCTAATAATTTTTAATATAAATTTAGTCAAACTTTCGGCAAATTCAATGTGCAGAGTAAAAAGGATCGGAGGGAGTACATGATACTAACTTATGATACTACTCATTAGGCCAACTCCACCGCGTGACCCTGTCCTGTCCGGTCCCGTCTGTTTGGGGTAAAACGGACAAAGGAGTCGGCTCAGCGCGCGACGGCCCAGACCCATCTTGTCTGTTTTGTGTCCGAGCCGATCCTTTTCGAGCGCAAACTTGCGCCGGGTTTGGGCCGCAACGGACACCAAACGGACGCGCGCCTCGTTTGTGTCGGGGCCGCGTGGTAGGCGGCCACCTACCTCCCACCCGCCCACATCAATGCACACGAGCGGGCGGCCCCACCTGTTATCCACACGTCGAACGGTCGTCGTCCTTCTTTAACTGGGAAACATGGACGGGTCGTCGTCCACACTGTCCCACGCCATCCCGTGGCCTTCTCGAAACCCGACAGCCCTAGTCCCAAACCCTAGCCAACACCTCGCCGGCCGGCCGCCCGCAGCCATGGGCCGCAAAGGCAAGCACGACCGCGAGGCTGGTTCCTCGTCGGGACGCCGCTCCGACTCGCCATCGCCACCACGTCGGGCCCCCGCGCCGCTCGCCTTCTCCATCGCGCCCACGTCCGCCGGCGAGCGCGCCCGGCATTACGTCCGCTCGTCGGTGTGCCGCCGTTATTGGGAGACGAGGACGCCGCTCCCCTGGAGCGACGTCCATCTCCCCAATAACTGGCATCTCTCCGCCGACCGGGTCCCGATCCCACCGGTCCCGACGAGCGGCCGTGCGCGCGACAAGGAGATCGAGCGCCGCCGCCGCCTCCTCCCCGACGATCTCTTCTACGACCCCAGGTACGCCCCCGACTCCGGGCTCTGGGACACCTGGTTTCGTGACGAGCACAACACCAGGCGCGCGTCATTCTTCGCCGGCACCTCGACGGGGCCGCGGCGGCCACGACAGGAGCGCGCAGCGCCTGCTCCCCAGGAGCGCAGGCGCAGGCGGGTGCGCGGCGTCACGCCCACGCCGTCGCCTTCGCCATCTCCATCGCCACCACCACCTCCTCGCATGACGAAGGAGGAGGAGGCCCGTCTCATGGCGCGTGTCATGGAGGACTCCATGTACACGCACGATGAGCGGCAATGGGAGGGCCTGGAGGAGATGACGGCCCGCTCCGCTGCCAGCGAGGTAGCCATCCCCGAGGAAGAGGAGCCGGTGGCCGCGTTCCAGCAGCTGCTGGGCCAGGGGTGGGGTTGGTCCTGCACTGCTCCGGAGATGGTCGTCGGCGTGGGCGTGAACTGGTGCCCCACTTCGCCGCGGTCATCGGAGCGGGAGGCGTCGCCACGGGAGGAGGTGGTGCAGGCACCTCCGGCTGTCCAGCCCGCCCCCGTCTACCACGCACCGCCGGCCTTCGTCGACCTCGTCAGCGACGACGACGACACCGGCGGCCAGTGAAGACCGCGACGGCCACGGCATCGACGGGCGCGGCAGGAGCGCACGGGAAGCTTTTTTTTATTTTAGTTTTATATGTTAATTATGAAACTGGGCCTTTTAAGTGGCCGTGGAAATTGGGCCGTTTTGTGACCGACCCCTATATATGTTTTATGTTTTTTTAATTATGTTTATTTACTTTTTTAGTTATTTCATTATAGTTTTTATTTTATTTTTATTCACGTCTACCCGGACATGATTTGAAGTGCGGCCGCACGGTGGGCGCACACACGACCCATCTGACAAAGCCGGACACGGGCGAACCCATCGGCGCCCCAAAGGAACAAAATCCGGCCAATTCGGACGTTCGTTTAAGGTCGCGCGGTGGAGTTGGCCTTACAAGCAGCCTAAGAAATCATTCGGTTTATTTGTAGCGGCGGCCACTTTGTGAGTCGTGTCTGATTGGCGCTTTGTGCGAAGGTGTCAAAATCGAGGTCTACGGGGCGAAGCAGCTTTGGGTTTGGGTTTGCGCGGAAGTAGGCGGGGCCGTTGCCTGGCGCGGGCGGGCGGGCCCACCTGTCGGCGCGCGCGTGGAGCTCCCGCTGACCGACCTCCACGGGTTCCTCCTGCACATGCATGCCGTTCGGTTCGTTCGTCTCGTCTTCTCTCCTGGTTTTTCCTTTTCCTTTCCCTTTCTCCGATCTCGTCGCGGCGTCTCCCGGCCGGCCGGCTCCTCCCTCCCTCCCTCCCCACGCGCGATCGATGATACAGTGACCCGCTGACTGGCTGATTGATGGCGGCGGCTACGACGAGGGTTCTCGGATCCAAATCGCCCGACTGCTTCCAGCTCCGGGACCCTAATTCCTGGTACCTCCCTCCTTCTCATCACAAAACCGTGTTGATCGATTTCCCGTCGTCCCATCTCCCTGCGTCGCTTTCCATTTTAGAAAATCCACTGCTGCATTTGGTGAAAGGAATTTGTTCCTTGGCGGTAAGATCATGTGGGAGCGCTGGCCTGGCCATATCCGCCACCTGACCGAATCTGAGTGAACACCTTGGACAAATGATGTAGCAGTACAAGGTAGTGGCGAATGAGAGGAAGATTTCAGTAGCCATTTGTCTCAGGAGAAACTTTCAGATTATTCAGGAGCGAAACAGTACATAACCTTCAGTGGATACCTTTCCTGCACTTCTGCAATTGGGAACACAGTTCAAAACAACAGCATTACAGAGTACTAGTATGTTGTTGATCTTGTGGCTCACAAATCACACTGCCTTCCTTGCCATTCTTGCAGGGTTTGCTTGACCGAGCTTGCGAGCGATGTGGTCGTCGAGGTCGGGGACATCTCCTTTCATCTCCACAAGGTACGTACATTTCCTTTCTGTATCTCTGTCGTATATTGCTCAACCGAGACACGTCTCCGTTCCGGTGATTCTGGAATCCAGTGTCAAATTGTCACATGATGCTTAGAGTTTGAAAATTCTATCCATCCACATGCACTAATCAAAATCCTCCATGAATGATTATGACTTGATTTTTGGCAAAAGAAAAAAGATTATGACTTGATATGCTACCTAAAGCAGCCGCCGGGCTAGCCCGCGCGCTGCTGATGAAGGTGGCGGCGGGGCCCTTGCTGCCCCGCCTCGCTCGCGGGGGGCCCCGGGTTCCGGGGCGGCGGCCGCGGCTGGTGAGGCGCCCCAGCTTTCGGCATCTAGTGGCGCGGGCGCGGGCCGGCGGATCTCGGCCGTGCGGGCGGCGAATCCACCGGAGGACGCGGGCTAGGGCGTGGCGGCGTCAGATCTGGCCACCTCCATTCCTACACCTCTCCAGCGAGCTCATCCCCCAGATCTAGCCTGCTCCGTCGAGGAGCTCCGGTTTTCGTCAGGTGGGAGCGGGTGCCGGGATGCAGGATCGGGGGAAACCCTGCTAGCCTTGCCGGCTGCGACGGCGGCGACGCCCACGGGCGCCGCTCACCTTCCTGGAGGCGTCGGTCAGGTCCTGTTCCCCACCCCCGTCCCCCTTGTCTCCCGGGTTAACACCTCAACTCTGTTGGACGGTGGCGACGCCTCTGGCGTCGTAACCTTCTTGAAGGCGCTGATTTTGGGAACAAGGATGGGATGTGGGCTTTGTTGCGGTGTGGGCGGAGGGCGTGTTCATCCTAGCTGCTCACCCTCTTTCGTGCCAGAGCTCTGGTCTTTGGCGTTTGGTTGCTCTAGGTGAGTCGACGGCGGCAAGCGGGGATCGCCTAGTTCCGCTCTTGTGGCTTCCTTGGATACCAGCCATCTAGGTTCTAGGGTGAACATGTCCATCACTCAACGGTTCGGCGCCCTCGAGCTGGGCGAGGAGGCAGGGGCCTTCTTTGATGATGGATCCGGTAGGCTGCATCTTCTCCAAGACCTAGAGTTTTTTTGGCAACGACATGCTTTGTTTTGTCGTCGTTCCCCTCTCCTGAGCCGGCTGCCGTCTCCTCCTTGGCTCTGTGCATGCAAGAGGTCGCTGACATCTTCAAGCATTTGCTCTTTGTTTCTCTAGCTTGTTGTATGTAAGCATTGTGAGCTGCTCCCGGCGTCTCTGTACCTTTCGCCGTTTTTCTGTTCTTTTTCTTTGTTTGGTGTGTGGTTGTAATCTTGCTTTGTAATCCTGGCCGGTTGTTGGCTTTGTTAATTCAAAGCCGGGCTCCTTTGAAGCCTTCGTTTTAAAAAAAATATATGCTACTCACAACTGAAACTGTCCCATCTCTTTCACTGACTTGTAATTTGCTTGCTGCACTTGTAAATTGTTGATTCTTTCATATTTACTCTACTGACAACATGCAGCAAGATAACTTCCCTCTGTGTTTCCATCCAGTTCCCCTTAATCAGCCGGAGCACCACGCTGCAGAAGCTCATCGCCGAGTCCACCACCTCTTCCGACGACCAAGACGGCGGCAAGCCTTGCACCGTGCAGCTCGACGACCTCCCGGGCGGCGCGGCGACCTTCAGGCTCGCCGCCAAGTTCTGCTACGATATCCAATTCGAGCTCAACGCGGCCAACGTCGTCCCCGTGCGCTGCGCGGCCCAGCGCCTGGGCATGGCCGGCGAGGGCAACCTCGCCGCCCACGCCGAGGCCTTCTTCGTCCGCGACGTGCTAGGCAGCTGGGACGCGGCCGTGCGCGCGCTGCAGGCGTGCGACGACGGCGATGACGTCGTGCGGCAGCTCGCCGAGGACCTCCTCCTCGCGCCCCAGTGCATCGAGTCGCTGGCGGCCAAGGCGTGCGCCGACCCGACGCTCTTCGGCTGGCCCATGGTCGAGAACTACATGGCGAGGTGCGTCGATGCCGCGGCGCCGCCCGTGATGTGGAACGGGATCAGCACCTACGGGAAGCCGCGGTCGCCGGGCGCCGGGTGGTGGTACAGGCAGGCGTCGTCGCTCCGGCTGCCCCTGTACAAGCGGCTCATCTCCGAGATGCGGTCCAGGGGCATGAGCCCCGAGGGCATCGCCGGCTCGCTCGCGCACTACGCCAGGCGGCACCTCTCCGGCCTCAACCGGCGCGACGTTGCCGGCGACGTCGGCGCGTCGGACACCACGTCGTCCGATGACGTGGTCGGCGAGCAGCGTGTGCTGCTGGAGGAGATCGTGGCGCTGCTCCCCGCGGAGAAGGGCGTCGCGACGACGAGGTTCCTGCTCGGCATGCTCCGCACGGCGACGGTCCTGCACGCCAGCGCGGCGTGCCGGGACGCTCTGGAGAGGCGGGCCGGCGAGCAGGTGGAAAAGGCGGCGCTGGAGGACCTCCTGATCCCCAACACCAGCTACTCCACGGACACGCTCTACGACGTGGACTGCATGCAGCGCATGCTGGAGCAGTTCCTGCTGTCCAACACGACGGCGTACGCCGATCCCTTGCCGGAGATCACGGCGGACGAGGCCCCGCCCGGAGAGCTCATGCCGGCCAGCACGGTAGCCAAGCTCGTCGACGGGTACCTCGCCGAGGTCGGCACGGACGCCAACCTCAAGTGCTCCCAGTTCCAGCAAATCGTGGCGCTTGTCCCTGACTACGCCCGGTCCCTCGACGATGGCCTCTACCGCGCCATCGACATCTTCATCAAGGTAGGTAATGGCCGGCGGCGGCCATGGATTACTGAATGTTCTTGAGCTTGAGTTTGATACCTTTCTGTCATGGCAGGCGCACCCGTGGCTGACGGAGTCGGAGCGGGAGCAGCTGTGCCGGCTGATGAACTGCCAGAAGCTGTCGCTGGAGGCGTGCACGCACGCGGCGCAGAACGAGCGACTGCCGCTGCGGGTGGTGGTGCAGGTGCTCTTCTTCGAGCAGCTGCGGCTGCGCACCACGGTGGCCAGCTGGTTCTTCGTCGGCGACAACAGCGCCGCCGTCGCCGACCAGGGGTCCCCAAGGAGCTCCCGCCCGAGGAAGAGCCGGACCGGCGAGGTGGACTTCGGCATGGGGTCGGAGAACAACGACCACGAAGAGGTCGAGGTGTACACGCCCGGGAGCAGCAGCGAGCCGGCGTCGGCGATGAGCGTGCACGAGATCCGGCAGAGGGTGGTGGGCCTGGAGGGGGAGTGCTCCAGCATGCGGCAGGAGATGCACCGGCTAGGGAAGCCCAAGGGAGCGCTCAGTAGGCTGTTCCGGAAGCTCGGGCTCAGTGGCGGCGGCAGGACGTCGTCGTCACGGCAGCAGCAGCCACGATTGCCAAGCTCCGGCGACGAGAAGCGCAGCAGGTTCTTGGATTTGGGGTGTTAGTTTTGGAAGATGTAGCTCGGTCGCATGTGATTTTCAGATTGTAAAATAGGTAAGCACTTAGCACACTGGTTCCGTTTTATTCCCGCTGGAATAAGAATTTTTTGAACAGCTGATTATTTCTTCAGGTATTGATTTAGGTGAAAGCAGATATACAAGTTTTCCTAGCATAATTTTGGCAAGAAATAGATACAGTCTGGAAGAAAGAATAGGAGCAGCTAGCTTTGATAATTCTCCTCGAGACAGGACTTTCAACACCTACACCTTCTATGAACAGTAAATTAGTAAACAACTGAAAGTGAAATAAAATAAAAATCTGAAACTCCGGGGGACCAAAGATGATCAAACATCCGATGTTCTTGCAAAGTTTCAGCCATAAATAACATTCGAGGAGACCTCACCTAAAGAAATAACATCAGTGTTCAAAGTTTATGTGCACTTTTGAGCAGTGATTTTTTTTTTTTTTGGTGGGGGCTCCTCGAATGTTATTTGTGGCAGAAACTTTGCAAGAACGTCAAAATTTTTATCATGTTTGATCCCCCAAAGTTTCATTTTTTTTATTATGTTTTCAATTTTTTTATGTACTGTTCATGAGGGTGTAGTGGTACCCAGGGGCTGTCATACATTTTCCTTATCCTAAATAGTCATATCGTTCTCCCAAGAACACTGTTAAATTTACAGGTTCCAAGTTGAGTAATTGCACGAAGAGTTAAAAACATTCACGAACACCGAAAAGATCTGCTAATGTTCCATCTGAATCTAAAAAGGGAGTGATGGAAACTTCTGCTATTAACTTTCACCCTGCATTTTCTGTCGAAGCTTTGCTCTTCATCCAAAGTGGCTGTTGATTTTGTGCCCCTTGTGCAAAATGATCTGCTCCCTGTTTCTGATGCTCCTTCATTGTGCTATATTCTGAAGCTGATTTTCTATCAGATGCTCCTACTGTGGAAACTTTTGACAGCAATCCTTACTGCAGAAAATTTACTGCTCCAACTTGCTGAAAATACTTGACGATTCCGTTAATTTCTTGCGAACAGCCCAAAAGAGATCAATCATCCATTAGTAAAAGAACATCCTTTTGATGATCCCGTTGGAACCAAGGAGCATGCTAGATGTGCCACAGGCACCCATCCAGTAAAAAAAGAGAGAGAGACTTTACTCTTGGAAGCTAATGTGAAAGTGATGAAAAGAAAGGATGAACAGATAGAATAACATCTGAGTCGAGCCATGAAATGCAAACAGATCGATTACAAAGACTTCAACATTCTAACAAACCACTAAGAGTTAAATAGTCGGGTACACAGATAATTTAACAAACAACTAAGAGTTAAATAGTCGGTACACAAATATTTTAACAAACCACCCAGAGTTAAATAGTTGGATAGCATAAGCTAGAGTCGAACACCTTACATGCATGATACACAAATTCTTCAAGGCTCTACCGCTGGGCAATCCACCAGGAGGTCCTGCTTCTCCTTGACAAGGAGGGACCAAGCAACAACGATCTTCACCTTGCTGTTGCCAACCGAACATTCACTCTCACTAGTTTGGCAAAGCTTGGCAGGGAATTCAACCTTCGAATCTTGAGCGGCGTGACCAGACTCCAAGTAGGTTCGTATGACAACTACCATTGTTCCTTGTGATTGCACTGACACAACATTCCTTGACAGATGAAGGTAACCATCTGATCCTACACGCACTTCATCATCACCGCGACAATCAAGCAACACAATTTCATCTGCATCAGCCACAACTTCATCTGCAGCAGCAGATAAGGAGCAAGCAACTCGGCATCCATGTTCGAAAGGCCAATCCCCTTCAACAACGCATACACCCAAGACAGTGGCCTGGACCGCTTCAGAAATCTGCTTAAATTTTAACTCCGCTACACACAAACTGTTCTCGAACTTGAGAGAGGTACCTGTACCGTCATACCGCTTGCTAAGAGTGATCAATTCTTTGTCTTGGGATTCCTCTCCCTCTTCTATTTTCAGTTCAATTTCAAAGTCAACAGGGCCCAGAGCTACAATTGCACGAGCCGGACCAGTCAAACATAAAGAAGAGCCCTGCAAGCATCATATCATTAACACTTAATTGCGATGGTTTGGCAAAAACTGCTTACTTAATTGCAATATAGACTACAAAAGCACAAAGAAGAAACAATGGAAAACGAAGAGAAAACTGAATACAATACTTACATTTTCATTGAGTTTCTTGAGAGTTAAGACTTGACCGAGAGGAGACAATGTTGCGGTTGCGATCCACGCTGTCTCGAGCAGCGACCACTCCGTACAGTTTTAGTGGCCAGTTCAATCCTTTTTTCAGTTCAAGAATTTGCATGGAGTAGATCTGCAAGGTGCTCCCAGTGACATCACAAGAGGATCGGATGGTATTGGGTGTGTAGTGCGTAAAATGCATAGGGCTCAATGTGGCTGCAGTAAAAAGTAAAGGCGAGTGCACACTGTCAGAAATATAATATTGAACAACCAAATTAAGCAAAGTATATTCCTTTTACTTATACAAGGAGAACGGAAGCTAGTGATCTGCTACAACTTGATTCGAATTTTACAACCAATAACATGTACGTATGTGTCCCTTGTTTTTGCTTGTGTGTATGTGCCCCTTGTTTTTGCTTGTGTGTGGCGACTCTCGACTAACAGCCCTGCAAAAAGTTATAGTAGGTTTGCTTTTGACACATTTTGAACCAGGGGCGGACCTAGAACAAAAACTTCCCGGGGTCCACATGTACGCCATAAATGATGGATAGTAAGCAATAATATACACAAAAGTAACCCATTCAATAGCTTAAAATGTCCAATAGTAAAAAAATAATTATCAATATGAAGTGTTCCCTTGAAATTCTTGTTGATTGTGTAAAATTAAACAATAAAACATAAGATCTCCAAACAATAGGAACAAATATGATCAGGCAACATGAATTCCCTCGTAATTCGCTGATTATTATGTTATCACAAGTGCACAAGGAGTTACACTATTTGTGTTTGTAGACAGAAACAACAATAAAGCTTGCTGATCGAACTGTATGGTTGTGAATTTAAGCTTACTTGACATTGTGTCTTAATGCTGCCGCGCGGTCGACAAATAATCGAAGGTTCCAAATAGATGTGAATCACTAAGGAAAATTTATCAAATCACAGAATTCATATCTGTGTTGGAATACCGTTGAATTTGAAAACACCAGCCATGCAATCTAGGTAAAGAATTAGAGAAAATTGGGATATGTACATATGTTTCAGAGAAATTGGCGACCTTGCCGAGAGTCATAGTATTTCCTTTGATTATTTAGCAATCTGCACCTGCCAGCGGACGAGCGCAGGGGAGGGCGACTGATGAGTGGCGATTGCTCAGGGGGCGAGGGGCGGCGGCGCGACGGAAGGAGACGAGCAGGCACCAACCGAACTGGCGCAGGATACGCACGTATGTGAGCGGTAGGATCCAATCGATCGTTATCTTGTTTTCTTTGCTCCCTCGAGACGATCGACAATCGGATGGGCATTCAACTAGATGGGCCGCGCCTGAGCTCGCTCCAACCGGTGTCCAGATTTATTTTTTACCGGTGTCCAAGCCTCAAATACGAAGTACTATACACGTAAGCGCAATTTCTACCCGGTGTCCTGTGACACCAGCTGCGTGAACGTAGGCCCGCCCCTGTTTTGAACCAGTTTTCTACCAAGCTTAATTAATGGAGTCCCACAAGTACATTCCATAGTTCAGCTAGCAACGCGACAAATTGCACTAATATTTGAAGCAAAAATATGAATACTCCACACTGTAAATCATGAACATTGTAACCGTAAAAAGTGTTTAAGTATAACAGTGAATGATAAAAGTGCTTACAGGTAGAAGCAAAGAGATTTTAAACTTCATAAATGATCATGAAACAAATACAAGAAAGAAAAAGCACCAGAAATTACACGACCCTATAAAGCAGAACTACATGTAGAAAAAAAACTTATAGAAATGATCACTATAAAAAAAAGGTAAATGGCAAGTCATGCTTGTGAACCTATACTGAAAATAAATTCTACCCTGAACCATGAAGCAAAAAAGATACGAGCCCTTACAACATGTCACTTGTGATGTGTTGAGAATAACAATACCACGGAAAACACATTTACTCAACACTGTAAAAACTAGACAGGTAAAAATTAAAATAGCTTAAGAAGCACAGTAATCCATGTACAAACACTAATGAATACCAAGCTACAAAACAAGCCCTTAATGCTATAAGCCTATAACTGATGTTTCTCTATACTAGTAGAAAAGTTCAGAAGTAGAGGGATCACTTTGCACTTACAGTTTGACCAAAAATTACAACTGCCTACAGAATGTAATTCGTGAACATTTGAACTATAATAAAGTTCAGACAACACTGTAAGATCTTGAAGTGAACACATGAACTTAAAGTGGATTTATTGAACCAAAAGAATATAATGACAGCAGGCTGAAACTCCTTATCATTTGAACAGCAATAAAAAAGCTCTAAAAACTGAAACTCATATGCACTTCTCAAGACAGAAAAGCAACTTCTAAAAAATTTGGCCATATGCATTTTGACTGCAACTGTTATGCATTTTTTGACTCTACAACCTGACATTCAAGAAAATGAAAAGTTTAATTCATGAACATGAGGACTGCAATTTCTGTAGGAGTCAACGGGAAACAGAACACATGTTTCCTACCAAGTTAAGAACAAAAGAATACATCACTATATAAATCAAATCATATTGTAGCATTGGAGGGAATACTGTGACCCCCAACATACATACAAACATACATTAGGCCTCACAGGGGAAAAGTATTAGTCAACATATACAATAGAAATTAGTGCTTAAAGTAAACTCTATACGTCGCAACTATAAGAAATTAAATCAACTACCAAGTGTTCTGACGCATGAAAAAAGAGCCTAGCATAACAAAATCCACATCATGTAGGAAGCTGCAAAGCAAGTGTTGAATGACATAACTCTTGTTTCTCTAAA